TGACGTAGACCAAACTTGGTTATGATTGTACATGTAAGACCTTGTGTTTTATACAGCATAACGCGAAATAAGCATTTTGTTGAGTCTTTATCGTGAAACTTATGTATTAATAGCCATGACCTTAAATTCGTCTGTTTACAATAATCTATTCTTAGATACGTGATTCCGATAGAGCTACCTGTATAGAAATACCCGAGTATGCGTCATAATAGTGCACGGTTGGACGCGCGCACTATAGCAGGTCATAGATTTGGGGTATAGCCATAGCAACCTGCCATAGCTCTTTTCTAACCGGTTACTTGAAAAATATTCTGACCGAATAACCGGTTAATCAGTCAGTTCGGTAATCAAACAATTAACAACAATAACTACATTATATGTAATACTTCTCTCATTAACAAAGCAATGACCTAGTTTTAAATGCGTGGAACGAGATTGACAGGTTGTAACGAGATTGCTAATGTAATAAGAAACGCTATGACATTAATTGTTGCATTTACAACATTTCCTTTATCGAAATTCTAGATCTGGGTAAGAAATATTTGAGAAAAGGTGCCTATCATTATGCATGTATTCCTGATATGAAAATTTTACTCGGGTGGGGTCAGAACCTGCCCCAAATCCTCTGGTAAAATTTTCCTTTTCACCATAACCAAATAGGCCATATTAGTTATTTGCCAATATCTGATTTTATGGCCATCCAGTGATAGAAGACTGTATCGAATGGCCCCAAATGCTGGTTTTCTAATTATATCCAAAGTGTTGGCTAATTATGAATAAATAAATAAATAGATAAATGAAAAATAACTATAAACACTGTGCCTTTCGTCTCCTTACTCGTTTTTAGCGGCTGAATTTCATGACTGATCAGACAATTACAGTTGGCCATTTTGTGTATTTAAGCACGTTCTTAAATATTTAAGCATGCTCCTTACCATTCTCAAATATTGAGCCCGTTCTCAACTTAAAATTTGAGAATGCATACTTAAGAACTTTTGAGATACACTTTTTTTAAGTATATGCTTAAAGTTAAGAATTGAGAATGGTTTAAGAACCTTTGAGATACACTTTTTTAAGTATATGCTTAAAGTTAAGCACTAAGAATGGGTTTAAGAAGTTTCGAGATTCTGGAACCAAAACAAATTTTATAATTTTGAAATCAAATTGGTTTACATTCATTTTACTGAACTTTCTATTCCTATTATATAAATGATATAAAGAAGTAGCGCAGTATTTATAACAAATTTGCATAGACGGGAGAGGAGATTATTTGACCAGTGCCACCAGTAAAGCGTAAGTAATGATTGCTCCCTAGTCGGTGTGTATAATGTAACCAGGATAACAGTAAGTGGAAATACGGATAGACTTGCTATAGTTCGCAACAATGTATCTAGGTGTAAATATACCTATCAATCTTTTCTATTTGACTTACAATGTTACTTCCTACTGTACCTTAGGACTTTGTCATTTCATGGCCGGTGTTTATTTCATTGACCTAATGGATTAAATTGTATTAATGGGTGCTGTGCTGTTGGGGTTTTTTTTATAAATAAAAAAATAAAAGCCATGATTTGATTTTGTTTCTTCTGTTTTCATAAAACATAGTTTAAATAGTTTAACATGGGATTAAACTTTAAACGACCATTCATCGGTGAATTCTGTCGACTGCATATCATCTTATTCTGACAGAAAACATAACCGTTTTCGGATTCAATGAAGACAAATCTATAGTCAATAAGTTGTTGAACAGCATTGAAAGGCAGATTTGTATCATCAATCGCATGTCAATGGAAGGGAGATAACTTCAAATAAAATTGCAGAGTTTGTACAGATTGTCACCCATATATATAATAAATATTTTTTGACATTTCTACCCACAGATCCATTGTTATCTCTGACCAATATGGCTAACTCTTAGTACCACTTCAGATAACTACTCCCCTAAATACATGTAGTTGACTCATGATCATCTAATATAAATAATATTCGTTAGTTTTCAAATGCTTGAAACACTCGAGGTTTAACAATTCGAAAACTTCTGTTCAACCACAGGGGCTCGTTACAAATGTCTGAAATACACATATGCTATAATGATATGGGTTACAGCACACATAAATGTAACGAGCCCATGTGGTTCAACATGCCCTCTCAAATTTCAACTCTCTGATAAGTCATACAAACTCCAAGTAAACCTCGGAATTTAGATAGGATATCTGGTTATACTGAATATATACTTTAGCTATTAAAATGGTACATGGTAACGTTAACTAATCAATGAATAAGGCATTAAGGCTGACATCTTCATAAAAATAGTTTGCGACCCATCAGAATGTTACGAAATCACATTTATTATCTTACGTTCATTTATGCTTACAAATGTAGCTTAAATTCTTAATTTCTCTTCATCTAGCATCTTGAACAACTTGTGTTATGCACAACTTCCACTAATAGTTAACTTGCCGTTATTATCCAATGGTGACCTAGACCAGATGTTTGACCTTGACATTACCAAATATGGTACATGTACGTGTGACAGCACTTCATGAGTTTGAGAAATGAAATAACACCTTTAAATATGTTTATGTTAAACCGTACCGCTAACCTTCGTTCTTATCAGCAGGATAAAACTGACATTTCTTATTTGGTTACATAGCAGAAGTTATTGACTTTCCTCCGTTAACACCAAACTCAGAGGGTGACACGTGTAAAAGATATAAAATAAAAAGGAAATATTTTTTTAATTTTCTTACGAGCCGTAAAGAATAATGTAACGCATGGCCTAATGGGCCCCATTAAACTGATGACATTTCTTGTCAAATTATTTTGGTATAGTTCTTCTGCTACTAGGATCGTTTTTTGTTAATACTACTTTAAAAGAGAAATATAAAGTCGTTTAGCAAACCAAGTGACGTAATAGATCTTTATTAATAAGAATAAAATCACTTTTATTGTGTAAGCATTACCTCTGTCTGACCCTGTCGTACACAGAGTCACGCTGGTCACTCTTCCTCCTCCTCCTCTTCCTCAACAACAACAACTATGTAACAACATCATCATCTTACATCGTTATTAACCTCACTCTCCTTCTCATCCATACGAGTAACAAACTTGCGGCATAGTAACATTTCTTGCGGTGTAGCAACAGACATGTGTTGCGACTAATTTACGCTACTGTTAGCCACGATTTTTTTGCGTACGTTTAGATTAAACATCCTGAAGATACATCGTGAAAGGTGAAATTCGTTCGGCTAATATTGAAAATACAACACGGATATATGTATCATCATTTTGCATTGTTGACCGAATATTGTTGACGTTTTGCTATTTTTTCCTAATTTTAAAATAACCTGGGAGATATATAAATAATGATGATATGCTTCAAACTAGAGAGTACTGTATATAAAAAAGAAATATATTTAAAATGGTACATAACTGTAGCACATTGACAGCTGTCGAGTAAAGTCTACGCGGTCTACGGTGATATTAATGTGGTGTTATCGGTATTTTGAGTAATGTTACTAGTGATATTAATGTGGTGTTATCGGTCTTTTGAGGAATGTTACTAGTGGTGTTATTTAAGTAGAATATTTGGTTTGATTTTATAGGAATCATCGTTATATTAACATCTTAGCAGTAAAAACGATACCTAATTAAACTCAGTGTCAAAGGGGCAACACCAAACACATGAAATGAGGAAACTGTCCCGGTTTGTAGTTGTCTGTCGTGTATGAATTCGGACACAGATGAATCACGTAGCGCGAATTCTGCTCTAGGTGTGAAAACGCAAAATTTTGACACAGCAGAATTAAAGCACTTTACTGTCACAAGTATACATGACAGGATAAAACATTAACCTCTGCAAAAGTGGAGATGAAATCAGATATACTGTTGGGATAGGCATGTTCTGCTTCTCGTATGGTACCTGCTATGAAAATGAGGAATTCGGAGAATTTGTCGTTTTGGGACACGCTTACTAGGCTATGATCGATAGAAAACTTCATAGCGTCTACAATCTGAGTGACCCATTTACTATAATCATTTCAGGGGGTACATGGCTGAACTAAAACAGTTCCGGCGTTATCACTGCGTAGGGAAGTTCGCAGCATTAACGAAAAGTTTTAGAGCATGCGACCACACATCACCCGGACATTGCTATTCAATACAGTTCAATTCAATGTTTTAACTGAAAAATACATTACAGGCTTATTACACTGTAAATTACAACAAGTATCATACTTTGTTTAGAGAAACCTGGAACTAAGTAGCGTTTTTCTAGAATTTCCAAGACTGAAAAGTAACTATGCATCTGCATTTTTGCGTAAAAAATACTAATTATCGCACATAGATATTTATAGAGCAAATTTAGTAGAAAAAAAAGAAATGCTTTAATTGGTTAGTTTCAGATAACATATTAACAGCTTGAACGTTATACTTTACTGACAGTGAGCCATTTATTTTACTTTGAATGTGGGATAATTGCTAAAAGAAATTTTCCATAAATTTAGAGAACACAGACACATCCAAATTTCGGTAATGCAATTTAAAAAAATCTTTGTTTCTTTCTAACTATTACTTATTGCTAAAAGTATGTTGATTAGTAGATATTAGTTTGAAAGTAATTTTAACAAAATTAATAGGTGAATTATTATGGTCAAAATGACAAATCTTTGGGTTGTTCTATACATTTTTAAATTGTGTTATAAATACTAAAACTCTTACATTGTGAGTCGACTTTATTATTATAGGGTGATCAAATTAACGTCTCTTTCCATGCCAGTTGAACCTGCCCTTCCCCCGCCCCACGTCTCTACTCATCGGATATATTTAGTTTCGAATTTCGCTAATAAAAGACTAATCTTTCTCTCTTATGTTGCAATGGAAGAATTTATGTCAGCAAATGATTAACCTGTGTACTACAAGATTAATGTTGTTTCACAAGCAAGACAACAATCTGAAACTGTTGCGGGCAAATTCTTCTAGATACGAAACGTAGTCTTCTCTCTAAAATCCAAAATGGCGAAGGTAGGCACTTCGTGACAACATGTGAAACCGGCATGTGTCGCATTTGTTTCTAACACAGTGTGCTTTTGCTTTATGACATGATAAATTGAATTATATTGGTTAATATGCAAAATGTAGTGTTTTCTAATAAAAATCAAGGCGAGTTGTATGTCGGTTATTATTTAAGCGTCACAAACTGCATGAACATGGCAATCGGTAGGAGATATTTCGAATAGACTGCACTGGTTCCTCTACTTTTAAATACATATAAAAGTTAGATCTCGATAAATGAAAGCTGAATGTAACATGTGTTTACTTAAGTGGCAGCATGATTGGCAAAATGGTATACAATAGATGTATATTGACTAGTCGAAGCAGGTATATTTCTCTAACCATATGAAGGGAGATAACTCACACATGCTTCAGAATCGAGTTTTTCCTTCATAAAGGGAGAATACTCGAGCACAGATTTGTGACTCAAATTAGAAAATATTTTTTAATGATTTTAATTTTACCATGTACTCAGATGTTTACTTCATTTATTGTGATATGTTTAATTTTTCTGTATTTTCACTATGCTGTACTTAGCCGGTGCTATATACCTACTTTCGTAGTTCCTGCTCATGGAGAGTTAGAATTGGTAAGTTCAGATTTTCTATATTTCTTGTATGTACTTTGATGTATTATTTGATTTCATAAAATCATCATAAATGTGGTAAACTTGGAAAATTTAATATTTGAAAAAAAGTGGCTTCAACTTGATTAAAGCTTATATATTAATTATGTTAACTGCTCTTCTAATTTGGCAATTAAAAGACATTAAAGAAGAATGTATTGTAAATCATATTAAAGTTGAAGTGTTTAAAGTTTGTTTCCAATACAGGAGCCGATAGAGCTCCTCTACACTGGACTCAAAAACCAAACAATTATATACATGTAGTTACTAGTATAAAGGTTAAGTTCATTGTTAATTAAAATTGCCCTATTATGCTATAATTATATTAAGTTCTTCATTCTGTCAAAGTTTATCTATTCTGTTCTGAAAAGTATCGATATTGGGAGTGGATACAACGTCCCCCGGAAGGTTGTTCAAGGTTATGACTGTACAAATGTGAATTAGTTTCTACTCAAGGATATTGTTGACTGATAAGGGATTTTTTTTCGTTATTTGAACACTTTTAAAGAACATAGTAGACAATGCAATTTGTTGATATTAATACTAAACTAATTTGTACCAAAATCAATAAAATTCTCATTATTCTTTTTTTGAGGTAGGGGGGAGTACAGGACAATGGTTAACAATGTAGATGACTATATGTTAATATTACCCAGATACTACAATGGGAATGCATGAATGAAAACAAAAATAATAACTTTACAGTGATGATGCCTTGATAATATTGTATATATATTTTAGCCCTGGCCTGGAAAGGTATTGAGTATGAGTCCAGATTTGTAAACTTGGTGAAGGATGGAGGACAGCAGGTAAGTGATATGTGTATTTATATATTCACGTCTTTTCGTATTGCAGAGTTATCTGCTCTTGTGAGCAGGTATTGATTGTTACGTCATTAGTTTGTGTGATAATGTAATAGTCATCTTTTATCGTGGATACAAAGGTATACGACAACTCCTGAGTTCTTTTCTCAGTTAATTTATTACGTAAGTAAAAAAAACTTCAATGTGAAGAGGGTTTTCTCGGACACAGTCCGCCGAGTCCTCGGTCTTACTCGTTCAATGTAAGGTTATTTGCTTTTGGCTCTAGTGCCTGCTACCTCTTTTAATTCCTATGCTGGCTAGGTAAAGATATAGGTGTACAAGATGTCCCGTGCTCGCTCTGGCCGCTCTGTTCAAAGTGACCAGTGCACCAGGTAAATTACCCTACCTTCAACACTAGGTATTCTATACATAGACAATATGTATTGGACAAACAGGTTTACAACCATTACATCACATCCGCTCAGTACCTTACTCGCATTTACGCGTGCTATTTCCGCACGCGCGCTAAAAGTTTTGCCGCAATGCGTGAAGTACAAAATTACACGGAAGGCTGATTTCCTTTACATATGAACGCATATAGCTAAATACCACAAATATATTATAAGAAATAATGACAAATAATGACACTACTACATTCTCCCCTCCTTAGATGGAAGATGTCCTCATCTAGATGATCAGGAAATAATGTAAATAAAACATGATAAAACAATATAACAAAAGTCCATGCAAAATATTTACACACAATTCCAATATAAAATCTGCAACTGAGGAAAAAACAAAAAATATATATTAACTCCCCAATTCATCAGGGATTCCCCCGCTTAAATGAAAGATGTCCTCATCTTCCATGGGGTTTCCTTTTACACATACATACTACATATACAAATGCGTATTAACGTCCAAATAATGTTACGTAAAATGGCACACATACACAACCAGTTAAAATATTTAACAATGCCTGTTGGGCTGATGCTGGCATATCTCCGAAGGATGCTGTCGATGTTATGTCCATCAGAAACATGGCTTTCATCTTCCATTCCGATCCAGCAGGTTGTTGTGAACAAACCAACTCGCCTGATGTCATCCAATTAGGCGGTCGTTTTCTCAAAAATTTATGATGTTACTATCACAAACAAAAGACGTAACAATCAATACCTGCTCACAAGATCTAGAGCAGATAACTCTGCAATACGAAAACACAGATTATCCTAACTGGAAGTTTTGAACCCAGTTTACCTGCCTTAACCACTTAGAGTAACACGTATTGCACTCTAAAATTTAAAGATTGGCAAAATATATTTTACTGTGATGGGTGAATTTTTCACTCTGTGAGAGGTTTCACATATGTCAACATTATCCATAATTTTTTGTCTGTTTGAAAAGTTTTTAAGTGATTTGAATATAAATATTAAGTACTGATGAATGAAAAATTTAGAAGTATGAGTATTGTAAATATATGTTACAAGGTACGTCTTTTTTACAGAAAAAGGATGAGTACGCTGCCATCAACCCGATGCAACAGGTTCCAGCGCTAGTGATGAACGAAAGTACAATGACACAATCGGTAAGTATCACCATTCATATAATATTATTTAATTTCAGCGATTCCAATGATTCTTATTTTTTTCTGATTATATCATATAACCTAAAAAAAATGATTACCCAAAAGTCTTGTGTCACAATGTTTGGTACGGTACTCCTGATCGGGTGAAGTTGCTCAGCGTCGAAATTACTGCACAATATTGTGTGTTTTGTGCAAAATCATTTAGTTTTTATCCGGATTAATAAATATTCATCTGTAATGAACTTTATGTCTGTCTTTTTAAACCAACCAGTGTTTCTTTTTGTACAATTGTGCTTTTACACATCAGAGAATTTCGCACGATAATCATGATCAGGTATGATAACCAGTGGTCATGTTAATTAAGCCATTTTTTGAAACGTTTGTCTCATATTTATATGTATAACAACATTATGTATGGGACCATATTATTTTGAAAGAACTAGTGATTTCATTGCATACTGTGACCAAAGTAGTACATCGCCACTACAGTATAATTATACCTCTGATGTTGGTATGTATTATTACACATGTTTGTATGAATTTAGGTAGCGATGCTGGAATACTTGGAAGAGGTCCATCCAGAAAAGCCCCTCCTACCTGTGGACCCTCTGGAAAGAGTCAAAGTAAGTATATATTACATCATCCTCGATATCCAGGGGTAAGTCACACACACGTGTGCTCTCTACACCCCTGGAAGATGTCATAGCAAAATTGAAGGCACGAAGATAGCTGTTTGATTGGTCTCAGGTTAAAAAAACAACCTGATGAATCGCTAGGCTGATCCCTGTCCTTTGAAGATTACAAAGGAGAGACGCCCGACTTCAAAGCCTGTTATTTTTTACCATTACCTGACCGCGAGATTCTTTTGATGTACATCAAAGGATCGAGCTTTAATTTTTTTTTTCTCATCAACAAGGTGTCGCACACCGAGCCTTCAATTTTGCTATGACCCCTGAACCCAGTCAAAATATGTATACATGATGTCAAGTATATATTCCAATTCAAAATACATGTAACATGTTTACTAACATATCTCTCTCTGTATCAAGTTTACTCCTTTTGTACTAGACTTCATTTTTTTAGCCTGAACCCCAAAAATTATTACCAGTTTGGTACTCTTTGACGAGATGAACCCCCGGTACCCGGCTACTACAAAAACACAATATCTCATTGATGCCATATGTTACTGTCGGGACCAGGGAGTTGATGTAATGATGAATAACTTTATATCAAAGCTTCTTTTATACACAATTCAAGTATTAAATGTGTCGCAAAAATTCAAGTCCATTTGTCAAGCTATTTAATAGGATTTCATAGGAAATTAGTGGACGCAGGCATTGCTGCCTCTACATCCACATCAGTATAATTTAATTAACAATGTGATAAACTTAAAATATGCCTTTACATAAGACGCTGTATGATCGTACTTCAACTCCAAGATCTTTCCAGAATTCGTCCAAGTTTTTCTTGAAGTCAAATACGTTACCAGATGAAATAATATCTTGGGGAGACTAATCCAGATATCAATTATTCTTTGAGTAAAGTAATGTTTTCTAATATTTCAATGACAATGTTGCTTGAGTATTTTTTTAAATGTGTCCACAATTTTTTCCTTGAGCGGCAAGATCGAACAATCCCTCCACCAAATTCGGAAAGTATAGCCCATTTATAAACTTGGAACACATTGATCATATCCCCACGCAAGCGTCTGTTTGTTAGAGTTGGAAGCTTCAGTCAGCATAGTTTCAGAACTGATGAATCTTATTGAGGATAATTGATGACTTTGTTTGAATACAGAAGCAATTTCTTAAAGAATATAATAAGGTTGTAACAAAAAGGGCTTGAACTTATGCCTTTTTTAAATCCAATGTTCTGCCCTTGATATCATATATTCTTTACACCCTTGGATTATGTCGTGACAAAATCAAAGGCACATGATTAGCTATTTGATTTGTTTCAAGTACAAAACAAACTGACCAATCACTAGCCTGATACCTGTCGTTTAAAGAGTACAGAGGAACAATACCCAACTCCAAAGATTTTCCAAAACACAAACTGTAATACAAAACATTGAATTTAAATTCAACATATTTTTTTAACGAAAGGTGCGAGAAATTGTGTCTGTCATCAGTGGAGGGATCCAGCCCCTGCAGAATCTCAGTGTGCTGAAGAAAATTGGGGACGAGGGTAAAATGGAATGGGGCAAATTCTGGATAGACAAGGGATTCCAGGGTAAGTTTATTTCTCTTTGAACTCCAGCAGTAAGAATTGTAGGTGTTTATCGTCTTAAAATTCCACGGTAAGATTATTTCTCTTTGAACTCCCGCAGTAAGAATTGTAAGTGTTTATTGTCTTAAAATTCCACGGTAAGATTATTTCTCTTTGAACTCCTGCAGTAAGAATTGTAAGTGTTTATCGTCTTAAAATTCCACAGTAAGATTATTTGGTTGGTATTCAATGATTTTTTATGCTTTATTCCAATCTTCAGTAAATCCCGCTGGGGGTGTGGGTGGTTCATCCTTTGTACTACTTTAGATTTCAGTTCTCTGGGCTTAAGGTAGCTCCTACCAAGAGGCCTGTTCCAGTTCAAGTGTTGGCAACTAAAATCCAAGTCTTACGTAGCAGTCTATTGGCAGCTGTTTGTATTGTCTGTATTTATAACACAGGCTCATATTGCTGGCTAAACTCCTTCTCCTTCAGATAGATAAAACTTCTGAATAAGGGAAATATGATCGGGGAAAATTGTGCGTGTGAGAGTAACATGATGTTTTAATACCCAGCTGCACATGTCATATGATTGGTATCATCCAATCAGACACGCTGTTATAAAGATGAGGTATAATAATAAGTGCTTACCTTGTCCATGTGTGTGTCATGGCTTATTACCCGGTATTTTTTTTGCGTTTACGTTAGGTGTGGACCAAGTACTGCAGCGAGGATTATGTACATGTAACTTCACATGATTATTTGTCTTGATTAGTACAACATGGTTCAACACTTTTTTGTGACCTTCATCATTGACCTTGACCTCTGTGACATCATTTAATTCTTTTTGCGTTTAGGTCAGTTTTGCAACTAAAGCCATGTAACTTCCCTCGTTTATGTGCCTTGAAGAATATTGCATGTTTTATATAAAGTTGTACATTGAACTAACATGATGATATTTCAATACGGGATCAGCTCTGTTTTGACCTTGTTGTGATTTCAGCTCTGGAAGAGATTCTAAAACGTACTGCTGGAAAGTATTGTGTCGGAGATACTGTGACAATAGCTGATGCATGTCTGGTCCCTCAGGTCTACAATGCAAACAGGTAAAATACAAGGTCTACAATACAAACAGGTAAAATACAAGGTCTACAACGCCAACAGGAAAAAAACAAGGTCTACAACGCCAACAGGTAAAATACAAGGTCTACAATGCCATATTGCGATACAATATGCCTGTACTATAAGACTCTCTCATGCCAGGGGTGTAGGATAGGGAAATTTCAAATAAAATAAAAGCCGAGGTGTCAGGGCCATAGGAAACTCAGGGCTACTCTTTCAGGTGAATGTACGGTACTCAAGTCCTTGTCATTACAATTAAAGCACTATTTAAGGATCCCCGTACCAATGCCTAAAACTGTAACTAAGTATTGGAAACGACTTTTTCTGACAAGACTATGGCTTTGATAAATCATATATATGAAAAGGAAAGAATAGCTTTCAGGACTTTTATTAGAACTTTTTAATGATAAAGATAAAATAAACAAAATGTTATCAACACCAGTGTTCTGAGTGTACAATAATTCAGAGGGGCGAGACCAGGATTGGAACCCTGGACTTCAGATTGTAATTCTACCGCTCTAAATGATTGAGCTACCTGGTCCAGGGAAGTGTCGTGACACAACTGTCCTACAGTTATATCCAAACCGAAGTTAAGGGGAGGTAACTGAATACAGGAAAAACACAGTGCAGTTGGACAGGGATCCTTAAATGTAATGAGTCGGTAATAGATTTTGAGATAACCGCAGTCTCCAGCTGACCTTTGTTACAGCTTACCTTTGTTCTGTTTTACAGATTCAAGGTGGATATGGAACAGTTCCCTATAATCGCTCGTCTTAATGATGAACTCCTCAAACTGGACGCCTTCAAAGAATCTCATCCGTCCAAAATGGACGACTGCCCTGAAAATCTTCGCAGTTGATGTGTGTTCATCAGTACAAGAACCGAAAAACTTGCAGAACGAAAAAGAATGCAAAACATGGAATGACCTTAAATCAATGCAGTCAAAAATGGATGACTGGCTTGAGAACTTTTTATAAGAGTTTATTGAAAAAATCCATCAGAGACTTGTACTAGGAACTAAATTAGGAACATTTAATGATCATAAAGCTGAATGTTACAATGGAGACAATCCAGAGCGAGTGAATGGCCGGAGACAAGCAGAGTTTGTAAGGGGTCATTAACACATTAATCAGTGACCTGCACTATAAAAAAAATTAGGAACATTTAATGACTGTAAATTTGAATGCTACAATCAATGTAATTGATTGAGTTTTGCCTTCAAGTACCCTGGTATCCGTGGTTATAGTGTTATATGTCATGAAAACCTTATTTATCGAGTATTATTACGGTTACATATTGTACTCAGTAAAAGCCATCAGAGCTTAGTATGGTCCTTACATTTTAGGGGCACATATGATTTATAGATTTTCAAAATTCTGTACACCCTGGTTCTTAGTTTACTAGGACATTAGGACAGGCTATGAAAATCTGGGGTATAACCAACTGTTTTTGGGGGTAAAAAAACCCTTATTTAGTGTTTTGGTGAACAATACCTTATTTAGACATGTTCACATTTAAGTGAAAAAATTAAATTATCAAACTGCCAAACAAAATTTTTGATAAGTGGTTTGGTTGGCAGAGTGCTACTCATTAGTGCTAGATTTATTGCTGTTGTGGTTAAATTTTTGTTACAAAGCAAGAGTGTTTTTTTTGTCAAAATGATATATTTTCTGATATGATGTCAGTTTTATTTTAATCCAATTGCTTTTGTCAGATCTAAATATAATTTGTAGTACATGTATTACCATACTAGTTTTATACATATCTCAGACTATTGTCAGATTTTACTATAATTTGTAGTACGTGTATTTACCATACTAGTTTTATACATGGGAAGGTGCTTCTCATATAAAACATCATAATTTCAATTCATTTTTCTTTTTAGTACAATAACATAAATAGTCAATCCTGTCTCTAAAGACCTCAGGGAATACCAACAAAATCTTAAACGACAGTTAGTCTAATAGACAGGTGATCTGATAGACAGGTGGTCTATATATACAGGTGATTAATATTGATAGTTGTTTTTATAGACAGGTGGTCTTTGTTGACAGGTGTTTTTTATAGGTAGACTTTATAGATAGATGATCGTTATACATAGGTGGGGAATATTGATAAAGGTTTTTGTAGATATAAGATCTTTATAGACAGGTGGTCTGATAGATGATCATGATAGACAGATTGTCTTTATTGACAGGTGGTCTTTTTATAGGTATTCTTTTTGGACAGGTGGTCGATTTTGATTGGTAGTCTTTATAGTCAGGTGGTCCATATAGACAGATTGATTTATGGACAGGTGATCCTTATAGACAGGTGATCCTTATAAACAGGTTATCCTTATAGACAGGTGATCCTTATAGACAGATGCCCATTATTGTAGTATTTATCAGTACAATGTAAGTGGCCTTTAAGGCATGTTTTACTATATTTTTAGGTCACCTGAGCTTTAGCTCAAGTGACCTATTGCTCTCCGTTTTCGTCCGTCGTCGTCCGTCGTCCGTTAACATTTTACATTTCAAACTTAAAGTCAAGTTCTGCTGGGCCGATTGAACTGAAAGTTGGTAGGAATGATCGACTCATGGTCCTGACAAAGTGTTGTTATTTTTCAGGTCAATCAGAAATCCAATATGGCCGCCACGGCCGCCATTTTGAAAAACTATTTCAAACTTAAAGTCAAGTTCTGCTAGGC